GATCGGCTGAACACAGGGAGCTTGTTAAAAGGTTATTTCAGGAGTTCAGGAAACATAAGAGGTAGGAAAGGATGAGTCATTACAGAGAACAGACAAACCTTGGTGGCCAGCGGAATGGAGAGAAGGAGAGCAAAGATGACTCTAGAGCTCAAAGGTTAAAGACCAACAGGGGTGACATTATTAACTGAGACGATAAACCTAGGGAGAGTTGTAATCCTTGGGGAACTTCCTGATTGTCTTTCATAGCTTCTTTCTGACATTAGCAGGATCATAAAGTTGTGTGAGATGGACATAAAACTCTGTGATAAAAAATAAAACCCTATCCATTAATTTAAAGTAAAGAAGAGAAACCTTTAGGTGCTCGGCATCAACAAAATACACATTTTAAATACTTCCATGGGAAGTATCTGTATTCAACCTAATTGTAGCACAAATAAGTTACCGAGGTTTCAAAGGCAATTCTCAAATAAGAAAAACCCCAAATGTTTCTCCTTAGTAAAAGTGTCAACCGGCCAAAAGCAAATCATTGATTTTAATGATTTTAACACAAAGAAGTATAGCATAACTCCAAGTTAGATTTAGGTTGGGTGTGGATAGGTATTCATTTATTTAGTGGGAGGATACATGAAGAAATTCAAAGATTAATATTATCCCCATTCTCAAAGAACCTATTCATCATTAGTTTGAAGAAAATATGGAACATACATGAATTTGCATCCAATAGTACTGGTAAAAGTATGTCAAGGGCTCTGTAAGACCATATAGACTTTGAAACCATTCATTCTGCCTCCATCTATTTTCCGTTGTTAAAACTAAATACCACAGATTAAGTAATTTATAAAGGAAAGAAGTTTATTTTGGCTCATGGTTCTCAAGACTGGGAAGTCCAAGGGCAAAGTGGCATCATCTGGCAAGAGCATCATAACATGGTAGAAGATGAAAGGGCAAGAAGGCATGTGTAGAAGAGATCAAATATTAGGCATGCCCTAGCTTTATAACAATAGGCTTTTGTGGCAACCAATCCTGCAACAGCAGCCTTAATCTCTCTTAACAACTGAATCACCTCTTAAAGGTGTAGGTTAATAAATTTGTGTTGCTTTAAACCACAAAGTCTGTGGTGATTTGTTACAAATGCATTAAGAAACTAATACTCCCTTCTTGTGGCATACAGTATCATTCACACAGAAAGTCCTACCAGGCAAGTCATGCATCCCAGGATTTCTTCTTTTTTTTCTTTCAGATAAACCATAAGTTTATTTTTGCATGTTTCAATGTCCCTGTCCATGTAGGTTTATCGTTCTGCCTTCTCTACTCGTTCTTTAAAACTCCACTGAAGTATCATCTCTTTTGAGAAAACTTCCTGGTCCTTGAGAGAGTCACATGTCCCCAAGTGAGATGTCCTTCAGGTCTCCTGTGCCTAACTTGGCTTGGTACTTAGCACAATCTACTACGTTGGCTCCTTTGTCTGCAACCTCTAGTAGACCAGCAGCTACCTGAAAGCAGATTCTGTTCTGTGCTAATTCATCTCTGCAGCCCCAGTTCCTAACAGTGCCTAAACTCACAAAGACAAATTGAGCACAAATAATGGTAAGAAGAAAAATAAGACAATTGATCAAAGGCAAGCAAGATTAAAAGGGGAGGAAGAGCTGGGCATGGTGGCAAAAGGTCTGCGATCCCAGAGGCTTGGGAGGCTGAGACAGGAGAATTGCAAGTACAGAGCCAGTCTCACCAACTTAGAGAGGCCCTACAGAACCTAGCAAGACCCTGTCTCTAAATAAAATATAAAGAAGGGCTGGGGATGTGGCCCAGTGGTTAAGCCCCCCTGGGTTCAGTGACGAATACCAAAAAAAAAAAAAAAAAAAAAGAGTGGGGGGATGTGAAAATTTAATTTATTGTAGTTAAATGGCAAAGGAACCACTGGAGGAAGGGGGCTTAAATATACAAGTGGAAAAGGGAGAGAAACTAATTTTACCACCCTTAAAACAGTACAAATAAATGAGATTATTGGCAAAAGTGGAGGAGCTATCTTTGTTAACAAGGATAGATTTTTTTTCTTTGAGAAATAAAGCAAAGGATTAGTGCACAGATATTAATTTGTTTAAAAATTAATATATAGAGGGTAAAAGGAAAAAAATGTATCTTTTCAGAGGGTTAGGATTTTATTTTAAGGTACTGCATTTACTTGGTCCTATCATATTAACTTTGGAAAGTTTTAAATTGTTTAGAAGTAATCCGGTACTTACCTTTCATGGAAGGAAGCATCTGATCTCCATGTACCATATTACTTTTAAACAATTCAAGTTCTGCTAATACAGCCCATAACCAATCTCTGTCCGGCCAAGGTCAAAACCAGAGTTCCTGCTCTTTGATCTCTAGGTCACAATATATTCTCTTGAATGTATTTTTCATAAGCAAAAGACAGAAGAAGTTTACTAGAAAATTCTGTCCCTACCAAAATTAGTGCTAAGGAGATGTCATCAAAATGCTGCACAAATAAACCTGAAAAGCCTTTTCACAGTCCCCTACTTCCAAGAAGACCCATGAAAGGGGCAGCACTGACACCCCACTCATCAACCCACTTGTGGATCAAAATATTGACAGATTTGATGGAAGACAAAGTGTTCCTTGAGCAGGCAGCACAGCTCCCCCTGCAGGAAGTGCACCCTGAATGCTCTGATGGAAGGATTCCTGGATCCCATCCCAGAGAGAGCTGTTCCATGACCTGCAGCTGACACTGCTGCTGACATGGCAGCTTTGGGTTCTGTTCGTTGGTTTTCTTTTTTTTCTCCAATGATGTTTACAAAAAGTTTGTTTTTTAGCTAAAGGAGGCACACTCTTAAAACCTAATAAAAAGCATGGCCAAGCTCCAGGCACAGGACTAAGGAGCCAAGATTTTCAGTCCAGGATTCTATTTGCCAGACAATATAGCTCCCAACATGGCTTTCTATTTTTTTTTTAAGAAGAAACTTACCAATTCATTCCACTCCCTAGTGCCCCACACAATTGGCAGCCACCATGCTTGGCATGCTGTAATGTTCACACCATTTCAAGCAGGTGTTTTGCCATTTCTATGAACTTCTTAAGAGACTATCTTGACTAATTCAATTTAAGAAAAAAAATACACAAAAAACAAAATGAAAGACCACATCTCACTCATTTATTCAATTGATGTTCTTTATACTCCTTTTATATATAGAACCCCGGGCCTTCCAGAAAGGAAATCAAAGATGTAAAGAACTTAACACCACTGCTCACTAGTATCTAGAATCTACTGGTCCCTGAGTTGTCCATCTCAATCAATAAAGATGTTTCCTGAATGGCCACTCAGTTCCCAGTGTCGCAGGGTTACATAGTACCTGTAAGACATGGTTCCTGCTCCCACAGAGTTTACACAGCCAAGCCACAACATACATGAGAAAGAACTAGAAAAGGAATAAGAGCCAAAGTAAAGAGCTTCTTCCAAGGAATGTAAGAGTTAATAAAAGGAAAGGGGTACTTCAAGGTGGGCAAAATCAGACAAGATCCAGGAAGTCCAGAAAAGACGTCCTTCTGGGCTGTTTGTCCTCTAGTATACTTGGGTTTGAGATCACATTAGAGGAAAAGAAAACACATGAGTAGGATGCTGAGTTAAGAGTTTGCACTTCATTTTGAAGGCTTCCCAGAAACCATCCCAATTTAATCCAAGAAACTATGAAAGATATACCCCCTCAAGCTAAGAACTACAGAAAATATCCTGGAAAAGGGGTAAGGATAGATTAAAAACTATCCATGAAGCAATATTAATTTTCCTTAAAGGAAGGAAATACTGACATTATCAACACCCACCACATTCCATTATTTTAAAAACAGAAGTATTTTGGACTTTTAATCCACTATCCCTCTCCTACAAATTATTGCAAAGAGAGAACATTTCCCCCCTTATTGGGGGAAAAGGGCTCTTAGTATTGACTTTTACAAATTACATTCTACATGGAAATGATAAGCCAAATAAGACATATAACTTGTATTAGATTAGTCCAGTAAGAGACACCAGAGATCAACCATGGCACAAAACTCCATGCCTTGGGTTGTTCAAGCTCCTTTTCATGATTGCATAAGACCTATCATTTCTAGGACTATTACGTAAGCTTCGTAATTCACAAAATAAAAGCATCCCTGTCTAACCAACAACAACATCATTGCTGCATTTTCAGAAATATGCATCAAATTTGTATTTCCAACATTAAAAAATAGTTTGGGTAAAACAAGTCAAGCAAAAACATCTTAACAAAGAAAAGGGGAAAGCAGGGCTCATAACATTAAAATGGTGTCTCCTGAGCTGAGGGAATGTTCAGCCTCAAATCATAACCCTTTACTAACTCAATGAGAACCAAAGGGGAAAGGAGATCATTGAAGAAGTGAGTGGGTCTGACATGCTATGAACAAGAACTACCCTTCTTCTTAGATGCTGCTTCACCCTTCAAATTATTTTAGTGACCTTTTATTATTAATCTCCAAAAATGAGCTTCACTAATCCTAGAAACAGCAAATGAGAAGTCCCCAAGGAAGGTATTATATAAGAGGAAAAAAATCTCATTTTGACAATGATCTTATAGAAAAGCCAAATTATCTTCTTATTCAAGGGTTTGATTCAAAATACTGAAAACAAATCTGTAAAGAAAAATGCCAGAAAAGAAAGCTTGGCATTTTCCTCTGTTGAATAAGGAGAGTGCTTGGCAAGTCCTGCCATGTTTCTAAAAGAAAAGATCTGCATTGTTTAGCTAAAAGTGCTTTGTGGGTAAAGGTGTTTTTAAAAATGCTTAGTAAAATAATTAATTTTATAACTGTGAAATTTTAAATTTAAAAAATTGGCTAATCAGATGAGCTCTCCCTGTGTAATAAAGATAGGTTTTTAATTTGTCTTCCAGCTTTATTGAGGTTTGATGGACAAATTAAAATTGTATAAAGTTAGGATGAAAAATGTGATGTTTTGATATATATGTACATTGTGAAATGATGACCACACTTCAGCTAATGAACACCTATCACCTCACACAGTTTTCCTTTTTGGAGTAGTAAAATGGAATTACTTTCCTCCATCTTCTCCCTCACCATCACCAGTCCCCACTTTCAAGCAGGAATGCCAAGCAATCATCTTCCTCAGTAAACAGAACTGACACCTCATTATTCAATTACCTGCTACTGCTATTCTGCTAAAAACAAACACAAAATTTCAAAAAAAAATGGTAGTGTTTGGCTTAGATTATTTTTCATGTTCTTCTACTTGGCAGAAACCTATGAAAAACAGATGGAGAAATAGTGGTGATTAGAAACAAAAAAAACAACACACTTATAGTCTTTATAAAATCTGAACAGTTCTGCATGCAAACATTTAATCTATCTTGGTAGACACAATGAATATTCAATAGGCACAGTCGAGAAAAAGACGAATTTGATATAGGAGAATATCAAGTGATATCTGTTACCCAACGAGCTATATGTTGAATACTGAAACTTCCCAGCATCCAAGTAACACATTTTTAGAAAATGAAGTTCATTTGGGTCTTTTCAGGTTACACTCACACCTACATTTCTCCTTGCTGGATCTCAAAGATAAAAATGAGGCTGTTATATTTTACAGAATCTCCCAGTCTGCCTGGAAAGCATAATATATATCTGTTAAATTATGATTTTTTTCTGTTGAGCTACTATTATATACTAAGACCCTCCTATGAAATTATATCTTCCTATAAATTGTTGAGAATAGCAACTACCTCATAGAATGCTTATCAAGGTCTCTTCTCAGGTCACAAAATTCAGAACATATCATGTAAGAAAAATTTTAATCAAGAAGTTAGCTCATCACCATTACTAACATTATTATTTAAATGAGGCAAAGACTTTTTTAAACATGTATATAAAATTATATTTGGTAACATAAATACCAAAAAAGTGAAGCATACTACTTATTTCAGGAAAATGTCTGGACTTCTTGCTAATTGAATGCAATATTGTTTAATGGGGTGGGGGTTCCTATAAACTCCATGACTTGAGAACAGTAGAGCCAAAAACCTACTGAACTTATGTTTTGAGAAATTCTAGACCTTCAACCTTAATAGATAAAAATATCTGAAATTTATAAACCACATGCACATATAAACATTTACTCATATATAATCAAGAACTATGAAGGTTGTGAAGGTTTTGCCTACTTGAAAACCAACAGGTTAGCCTGGCATAACCTCATGGATGTTGGCAGAAGAAAAGAGACTCCTAGATCAGACACAATCATACTTTATTATTCACAGTAAAACAAGCATGAGTTTCACATTTACATTGGTCCCTCTAGCCCTCCACAGTCTGTGGCGATGTGGATTTGCATCACAACCAAAGAACACAAAGCTAAAGGAAACCCAATCTTTCACACTAGGCAACAAACAAACCTGTCAACTTTGCCCCAGAGGAAAATACTATCTTTATTATACTAGATGCAAAAAAAACAAACTGTCCTAGCTCCCAACAATTCAAGAATCTATGTCTGTCTTCCAAGGCTATTCACTACTCAAACATCATTGAAAGGATCATCTGCAATGAAAGCTGTCAGCAGCACTTTTGCTCTTAAGAATGCAGAAATACAAAGGACCTATGGAGAAGTGTTTCCCAATATGTTGATATTACTTATAACCTACATATTTATATTATTTGTGACCTAGAATTCCCATTTTCTTGGAAAGCCCTTTCTTTAAATGTTCCATTTTAACAGGATTCCAGGGTCCTATGTCTCTAATGTTAGAATATCTTTCTTCCCCTAGACCCAGCCATCCTAAACAATTCTGACAATCCTAGGGGCCTAGAAAGTACAAAAGTTAATCCTGTCTGCTCTCACAGCTCCCATGGATCTGGGACTCAATTTTACCTGTTGATG